ACAGAGGGTCAGCATAGATGGTATTATATCTGAGTGGGGTCGTGTAACCAGTGGGGTTCCCTAGGGGTCAGTACTAGGCCCACTCTTGTTCATAATCTACATAAACGATCTAGATACTGGGATCAGCAGTGACATAAGCAAGTTTGCGGATGACGCCAAAATAGGGCGGCAGATTAATTCAGTGCAGGATGCAAATGCATTACAGGAGGATCAAAATAAACTGCAGGGGTGGTCTGAAAAATGGCAAATGAAATTCAACACCAGCAAGTGCAGCGTACTTAATATTGGAAGAACAAATACTGTCAATGTATACAGCCTTAACAACATCAACCTAGAGAAATCGACTTGTGAAAGAGACCTAGGGGTACTTGTATGCCCTGACCTACGGCCTAGAAAACAGTGCGTTAATGTTCGAAATAAGGCAAACAGCATTGGGTTTTATATCTAGAAGTGTAAGTAATAAGAGTGCAGAGGTCTTAATGCAACTATATCTTGCGCTAGTCAGGCCGCACCTCGATTATGCGGTTCAGTTCTGGTGCCCTTATTATAGAATGGATATCAATTCACTAGAGTCGGTGCAGCGAAGAATGACGAAAATGATTCCGGGACTTAGAAACCTTCCATATCAGGATAGGTTAAAGAAACTAAACTTGCATTCCCTAGAAAGGCGAAGAGTGCGGGGAGATATGATAGAAGTATTCAAGTGGGTGAAAGGAATCAATAAAGGTGATATAGATAAAGTTCTTATAATATCCAAGCAGGATAGGACTCGGAACAACGGATTCAAGTTGGATAAGTTTAGGTTTAGGAGGGAGATAGGAAGGAACTGGTTTACAAATAGGGTGGTGGACGAGTGGAACAAGCTTAGCAACTTTGTAGTAAGTGCTGGAACGCTGGAAAGTTTCAAAGGGAGGCTGGATAGATTCATAGATGATAGAGAGTGGTAGTAACTCTCGACAGGAGCTGCCATGCACAGGCCAACCAGCCTATTGCAGACTCCTTATTTTCTTATGTTCTTATGTTCTTATGATGGAGTTCCGGACCCCTAGGATCCGCCACAATTACTTTTACTTTTCCTTTTATCCTCTTCACCACTGATCGGCTCGTTAGCCGTTTGGGAGATCGATTACGTCTCTGTTAGGCACTGTTGGTAAGTACTAGGCATGCACTGGCTCCTGAATGTATCCGAACCTGCTTCAGTGTCGGTCAAGTCTGTTCTTGAAAGAATTCTAGACTCCAGAAAATAATGAACTTTAAGCTGTCTCAAAGAGCCTGTGGGGTTACCATGATGTTGGATCGCACTAGGATGGAGGTGAGAAGGGAAACTCGGCTATGTCGTTTTCTCTCTATCTATCTATCTATCTATCTATCTATATGGTTAGGTTAGGTTAGGTTAGGTTAATATCGACAATATTTACCTAGATTTTGCCAAGGCTTTCGACAGTGTACCCCACGAAAGGCTGAAAATCAAACTGGAAGGGTACGGAATTCGGGGAAATGTCCTAGTGTGGATAGAAGACTTTCTACATGACCGCAAACAATGTGTGGTGATTAATGGCACGAAATCGTCATCTGTACCTGTAACAAGTAGGGTACCGCAGGGTAGTGTATTGGGCCCGCTGTTGTTTGTTTGTTTCATAAATGATATGCCTGACGTTGTACACTCCTCCATACAAATGTTTGCCGATGACGCCAAGTTATTTCGGGAAATTAAGAACCAAGCGGACTGTGAAGAGCTGCAGAAGGACCTCTGTGGGCTCCAGGAATGGTCGAAGGAATGGCTGCTGAGATTCAATGTCACGAAGTGTAAGAGGATGCACCTGGGGCGTACCAACGGTAAGGAGGCGTACCATATGTCCCAACGGGATGAAGAAAATGTACTAGTTGAGACTGTGTGTGAGAAGGACCTAGGTGTGTATGTTGACAATGAGCTGAAGTTCTCGGGCCATTGTGAGAAGAAGGTAAATCAGGCAAATAAATTATTGGGTCTTATAAGAAGGTCGTTCAGATATCTAGACGGTCCGTCCCTCGTGACGATCTTCAGGAGTGAAGTGATTCCCCATCTGGAGTACTGTCACCCCATCTGGTCCCCGAGATATGCTAGGGACTGTCAGTTGGTTGAAAATGTTCAAAGGAGGGCCACCAAACTGGTGCCTGCACTTCGGCATCTCAGCTACCCTGAGAGATTGGAGCGCCTGAACTTGCCTAGCTTATACTACAGACGGGCAAGGGGGGACCTAGTTGAGGTTTATAAGCATCTCAGGGGCACTACTCAGTTGAGTGTCCTTACTTGGAGCTGGCGGACGCTCGCCCCACAAGGGGTCACAGCTCAAGATTGAAGAAGCCGCAAGTCCGGAAAACCGTGAGGGCAAACTTTTTCGGAGTGAGGGTTGTAAACTCTTGGAACAATCTACCAGAGAGTGTTGTGACGGCACCGAGTGTGAGCTCTTTCAAGAGAGACTTGACCAACACTGGACTTGACCAACACTGAGCCGGTTCAGGTACATTCAGAGCCCAGCATTTGCCAAACAGTGCGTGACAGAGACGTGACCGATCGCCCGACCTTTGGTGAAGAATATAGCGAAAGAGACGTGACCGATCGCCCAAGCGGCCAACAAGGTCGATCAGTGGCTAAGAGGATGTTAAAAGTAAAAGTATATAGGCCTATATATATATATATATATATATATATATATATATATATATATATATATATATATATATATTAGGGTGTGTCATACGGCGAATTTTTTTTTTTTGAGTTTGAAAAATCGGCCCATGGTATTAATGATGTAGTTCTATGTGCAGAATCATGTGATATCTTCAGATTTGAAAAGTTTTCATTTTTTGCTAGGTAAATTTTAACTTGAAATCTTATGAAAATTCAGTATTCCCACCCTTTTACCAACACCACTAAATAGCTTATATAAAGTAAAGTAGATGTATCAGGTTAATTTATTAGGATGAAAATGATCCAGAATAGTGAAACGAATGATCTTGACACATTTATTAAATTTAATATTCCTTTAGAAAACAAAATCATCAAATACAAAAACCGGTTTTACTACTACGACCCGGTGTTGCTGCACACCATAGAGAACATGTCTTTGCTTCTGTTTCTACTCATCACCTCCCTGCTGACCACCTGAGCTCGGATGTAGCCTTCCTCCTCTCCTGCCAGAAGATGCGGACTGCTGGCCTCGCCACTTGCTGTACACAACGCCTATACTTGGGTGTGCGAGGGCCAGGCAGGACATGCATGGGGTTGTCCAGGAAAGCTCTGACTTGAACATTGGTGAGGCTGCAGGTAAGAGGGGGCTCACTGCCAGCCTGAATGTTATCCAGATCTATGAGATCAGTGAGGGTCTTGGCACCTAGATTGACTTCAGGAGTCTTCCTGACCCTGAAGGAATCGTCACCAACTGATTCGTCATGCCCAGATCCTCTCATAAGTCTCATATCCAAGATCTTTTTGACTGCCACTCTTCTCTCCTCATCCTTACTGCAGAGCATTGTCTGCAGAACTGCCTCGGGATGAGCATACCAGGAAGATCTCCTCACAGTCTGCTCCACAATCTGAACAACCTCTTTGGCTGACTCTCAGGAGCCTCAAGCTGAAGAGAACATGCCTCGGACCTCGGAGAACGATGACTGAATTCCTTGGTGTTGAACCTCACTTGGCAAGTAGACACTCACGATGAATTGATAAATAAGTCTCAGGTTGTGAAGTTGGTTCCCTTTCAGTTTATGATGAGCGACCCAAATTCTGCAGAACCTGAGAGCTTGCTAGAGCCACCTAGAATGTGAGACTGACCCATCTGCAGGTAAGCAAGTCTATCAGGCATGACCCCAGTTTTGATGGTGGTACCGTAAATCATGTAAACCATAGTACTGGTCAGTAATCAGGTCGTCAATGACAGTATGTGCAAGCTCAACGAGTGGAGGGCCAACTGTGATTTTTTCAAAGCTCGATTTATTTCTAACTCAGTGGCAGAGTCCAGCATCTTGCCAAGAGGACCAGACCATCTGTTGTTTGAAAGAGTCTTGCCATCCAGCTCCTGGATCAGATGTCTGAGTGGCAACTCGTTGGTGTGGAGGTCACAAACAATCCAGACCAGCTTCCTCCCAATCTTCCGCTCTATCCACTGTATGACCCCCCCTTGTCACCCTGTGTTCGTGCTGTCCCCTTGAAGAAGAACTTGAAGAACACATTTGGTACGTCTACATTTCACTTAGATAATGAAGTTGCTCCTCTTACTTTACTTTACTGAATGAAATTTACAGAAAGAGACTGCAGCCAATCTTCGGTGAAATTTGCATAGCAATTCGTCTTTTCTGCACATTGTCTGTTACTGTTGCTGAGGCTGAGTGTAATTCCAGCAAGTTGGCCCATATAAAACCCAACAGGAGTTCAACGATGGGCCAAGAACGCCTGTTATCTACCTCTTTTCTGTCAATAGAAACCTTACTTGTTAGAAAGCTTAGAAGTATTGATTATTAGCTCATTAATCAATGATTTTGCTGAAAGGGCAAGGAAAGAGACATTTTAAATTTGTACTAAATTTAACCTCAGTAAATATGGTTTATTTTGGTAATTGTTCTTAGCTTGAAGTTGGAGCAAAGTGTCTCAGGATCTACATTTTCGTATAAATACGCCAATAAAAAGAGTGAGTACTTATTGTGCAAACAAATTATAGCTTTTCTCATATCGTTTGAAAACTGAAAAAGAAAACAATGCTGTATTTGATTGCCCTTTAGTGGGAATGTATTATGCGATTTCCGGTGGATATTTGTGACTGTAATTATCTATTGGCATTTAATCTTAATTGTAATGTGATTTTTATTAAACATCGTTTTCCCCACAAACTTTCAGAGTGGCGTTAAAGTAATGCTTATATGTATTTTTTATTATAAAAAGTGAGCAAATGTAACTTTTGATTTAGATAAATGAATATTTTATATTTCGGTGTAGGTGGTGCAGTTGGGGGGAGGGTCAATGTTTACCTCAGGTGCAGCTTCACTCGGGAAGAGAACTTGTCATCGATTGTAATGAGAAATGGTGAATGCCTTTCTATGCATTTATAAGGTTTGCCACTCCTTTTCTCTTCCATAAACATATTCATAGAATCTTTTAGAAAATAACCAAATTGATTGGAATCTCAATTGAGCAGAAATGTTGTAATGGGGCGTATAATAAGGCGGTGGTGATAAATGACCCAAGAAAGCACTATCTTATCTGCTTGGTTAGATAAGGTCAAGGAAACATTATCATATCTACTTCATTAGATAAACTCAATAAAACTTCTTTTCTCGACTTGTCTAGATAAGGTTGGACTTGGACATAACCTAGGGAAAACTCCCACATTTTATGTAATATCAATATTATGGAGAATTAGTGCTATACTATTACCTGAACATGGTCTTTGGGTCTCTGTTGTTGTGTTGTTTTCTCTCTGGAACCTTTTTTTCTGTTGTCTAATAATACTTTAGGTAAAGATGGAGGAGAGGAGATGGTTAGCACCAGAATGACTACGGAATTGCACCAAATTTTCAGATGTTGTTTGGATGATACTGAGTAATAATATCGAAGTGACAACAATGTATTTTGTCTTCTTTTTAGCCTTTCTTTCAATCATAAATTACTTGTTAATGAGCTGGGTTAAACACTGCAAATACTGATCATATGGCAGTAATTTCATGGCTCTACTTCCTTTGTAGGCAAACTAATAAAATATTTTCCATGTTTGCTTCACATCGTCTGCTGTACTGTAGCGTCCGCAGGTTTTATTTAAGTGTTGAGAAACAAACGATGATCTTATAAAGCATGTTTATTATGATTTATATTGGATTGAATTCTTTAATTTTTCTAGCCATGTTTGGATGATAGTAAGAAAATCTAAACGACAATGCACAGGTGAGGAAGATAGGTTAGGTTAGGTTAGGTTGCAATAGGTTCTGTGCATTGTTGTTTCTATTTTCGTGTTCAGTATCATGGAAATAGGTTATTATTTTTTCGATCATTTGGGGAATCTTGGGAATTTAACCCCCACCAGTAATGGCGGGTCCCCCTCCCAGTTAGGTTGGATATAGTTCCTGTGTACTGTGGTTAGGTTAGGTTAGGTTGAATATAGTTCCTGTGTACTGTGGTTAGGCTAGGTTAGGTTGCATATAGTTCCTGTGTACTGTGGTTAGGTTAGGTTAGGTTGAATATAATTCCTGTGTACTGTTAGGCTAGGCAAGGTTGAATATAGTTCCTGTGTACTGTGGTTAGGCTAGGCTAGGCTGAATATAATTCCTGTCTACTGCGGTTAGGTTAGGTTGAATATAGTTCCTGTGTACTGTGGTTAGGCTAGGTTGAATATAGTTCCTGTATACTGTTGCTTGGTTAGGTTAGGTTAGGTTGAATATAGTTCCTGTGTACTGTGGTTAGGCTAGGTTGAATATAGTTCCTGTGTACTGCGGCTTGGATAGGTTGAATATAGTTCCTGTGTACTGTGGTTAGGTTAGGTTGAATATAGTTCCTGTGTACTGCGGCTTGGTTAGGTTAGGTTGAATATAGTTCCCGTGTACTGCTGCTTGGTTAGGTTGAATATAGCTCCTGTGTACTGCGGCTTGGTTAGGTTAGGTTGAATATTATTCCTGTGTACTGTTAGGCTAGGCTAGGTTGAATATAGTTCCTGTGTACTGTGGTTAGGCTAGGCTGAATATAGTTCCTGTCTACTGCGGTTAGGTTGAATATAGTTCCTGTGTACTGTGGTTAGGCTAGGTTGAATATAGTTCCTGTGTACTGTTGCTTGGTTAGGTTAGGTTGAATATAGTTCTTGTGTACTGTGGTTAGGTTAGATTGAATGTAGTTCCTGTGTACTGCGGCTTGGTTAGGTTGAATATAGTTCCTGTGTACTGTGGTTAGGTTAGGTTGAATATAGTTCCTGTGTACTGCGACTTGGTTAGGTTAGGTTAGGTTGAATATAGTTCCTGTGTACTGGGGCTTGGTTAGGTTGAATATAGTTCCTGTGTACTGCGACTTGGTTAGGTTGACAGTTCCTGTGTTAGGTTAGGTTGAATATAGTTCCTGTGTACTGTGGTTAGGTTGGGTTGAATATAGTTCCTGTGTAGGTTAGGTTGAATATAGTTCCGTGTACTGCTGCTTGGTTAGGTTGAATATAGCTCCTGTGTACTACGGCTTGGTTAGGTTGAATATAGTTCCTGTGTACTGCGGCTTGGTTAGGTTAGATATAGTTCCTGTGTACTGCTGGTTAGGTTAGGTTTGATATAGTTCCTGTGTACTGCGGCTTGGTTAGGTTGAATATAGTTCCTGTGTACTGTGGTTAGGTTAGGTTAGGTTAGCTATAGTTCCTGTGTACTGCGGCTTGGTTAGGTTAGATATAGTTCCTGTGTACTGTGGCTAGGTTAGGTTAGATATAGTTCCTGTGTACTGCGGCTTGGTTAGGTTGAATATAGTTCCTGTGTACTGTGGTTAGGTTAGGTTAGATATAGTTCCTGTGTACTGCGGCTTAGTTAGGTTAGATATAGTTCCTCTGTACTGTGGCTAGGTTAGGTTAGATATACTGTAGTTCCTGTGTACTGCAGCTTGGTTAGGTTAGGTTAGATATCTAAACCCCAATTTTTTTTTTTTACCACAAATAGTACTGTACTGCATCTCCAGAAATTTGGTTCAATTTCATAAGTTATTTCTGATGCTAGCTGACTCCTCCACCTCTACCCTTACTTTACAATAGGGTTTCCTGTATCAGATATTTTTTCTATTAAAATAAGGTAGGGTAGTCTTGTATTTAATGGACATAAAATCATCTGTATGTCAATTTCTTTTGAGGATAGGTTTGTTGGTTCCTTTCATAAATAGGATTTTGTAATAATTCAGTTTATGGCTGTGGCTGGATCTTGATCTGAGAATAAGTTTCTCTGGTTTATTTAGGTGTGCTTCATGTATATCTGACTTGCATTTCTTGTTTAAATGGCAATTAGATTCTTTTTGATTGATTTTAAGACCTAAATTAGAGTTCCTGTATAGAGAGAGAGTAGCAGCAACCTGAATCTGACACCATCTTCTTGCCACTGAGCTGTGCATGGAACATTATACTGCTCCTTGATATACTCTCTTCCTTTTTATTATTATTATTATTATATATATATATATATATATATATATATATATATATATATATATATATATATATATATATATATATATATATATATATATATATATATATATATATATATATATATTAAAAATAGAGGTATATTAGGTACTGACAGCAAGGGGCAATTTGTTGATTAGCTTGTAAGGGGCAGACAAAGTCTACTGCATGCTGTTCTCTACTGTGTACAAAACTTCACAGGCACTGTACAGTACAGTACAGTAAATTGCTATCACAAACTAAACACTACTGTACAGTATGTACAGTCAAAAACACTAATATAGGGACAGGGTAAACGTTGAAGTCAGGCAATTGAAGATCGGGGTGTCTCAAGGCCCCCAAAAAAAAATGCTAGTTAAATAACTTTACATCTTGGCAAGTAAGATCCTAACTCAAAGTGTTCATGTTACAATAATTACCTGGCTACAATTAACTCAAGTCTTTTAAATGTCCTCCTACCTCTGTAAACAATATGTATGGTAACATGATGGAGTGCATAACTATTTAGTGTACTGTAATGTGTATGAGGAATAAAATAAATTTGAATAAAACTTGCATAGAGGGTTAGGAACAAATTTGAGGGTGTGCTAAAATGAATACCTGTAATTACTTCAACTCTTTTCTTCATTCACTATTTTGACAGGACATTTTGAATTCTTCACTATTTAATTTTAATGTTGATACATAACACCTCTGTAATGTATTGCTCATAAGACAAATGAATCCACACTCCCTACCCTCCCTCACTCCTCCCTCTCTACCTCCCATCCCCCTGGTCTCTCTCCACCCCTTCTCATCCCTCTGCCTCGCCTTATCTGCTTTCTCTGTTTGTCTCAACACTTTCCTCCCTATCCTCTCTGTTCCTATAAATACTCTGTAACTTTCTGTCACTAAATCATAGGGCACCTATAGTATGCTAAGCCAATTTCATACAACATTTTTAATTATGTTGAATTTGCCTATTATTTCTAAAGGTTAAATAAAATCAAAGTAACATCAATGCACACAATGAATGCATTAATTTAGAGGATTAATTCAATATTTATTTAGGGATACTATCCTCTGCTGGTCAGTCCCTAGACTCCCTACTAGTGTGATGCCAATCACATTGCAATCAAGTGCAGGTAACTTGACCCAAGGACCTGTGGTGTGGAACTGAATATATCCTGGTTCTACCTCCACGCAAAGAGAAGGAAAACTCGCACTAAAAACCATGTACTACGTACATGTGGGTGTGGGTGAGTATGGTTGCTTAAAGTCATGATCATAAAGGTGGCGGAGTATAAGAGACGACAGGACAGTAACTAAGAGGAAATATATTTTTTATCACTCATTGTTGAACATGACCAATTAACTCATAATGTTGTATGTCCATATTGCTTACAAAATATATAGAAATACCTGTAATCAACTCTTTAAGTAAACCATTTGAGGATACAGTATAGAGAAGGCATTAGATATTCTCAATTTTTATATAGTACTGTACTTATAATTATGTACAGTCTCTCCTCGACTTACGGCGGGGTTCCGGACCGACGACCAGGTTCGTAAGTCGAATTGGTCGCAAGTTGAAAAGGCGAAAATAATACATAGAAAATCTAAAATGAAATACGGTACAGTAAAAGTAATCAATAATGAAAAATCAATAAAGTGTTACTGTGCACTTACTTTTAATGTAGTCAGCTAAATGCACATGGGGCCTCAATAATTTTTTAATTAAACATGGAGACTACATTAATTGGATGAAGCAGAGGAGGAGATAGGGCTGGGTGGGTCATCAATTTTGCTTTCTTCAGACAGGCTAACATACTTGCTTGTTGAAAGTATTGGATCATCTTTAGGGAGTGAAGAGGCAGCAGTGGTGGGGCATGAGGAGATAGCAGTGGGGGACTTCTTAAAATATATGTCCAATTTAGACTGCACAGTTTGCCTTTTCTTTTCATTTTAAATCTCCCTGAAGCAAGCAAGTGCATCTTGGATCATTCTGTCAACTTTTGCAAAACTCAAACATTTTGATCCATTTCTTCAAACATTTGCATCCCCTTATTAATAGTAGCAAATGCCTCTGCTATTTGTTTCATTGAAAACTTTTTTGGAGGTGCAGGTTCTTCTACATTTTGTCTCTTCTTCCTCTACAAATTTCTGTGCATACAGTTCAATAAGATCCTTGTTACTTAGCTTTTCTGCTACATTTTCCACCAACTGCTCAACATCTTCATTATCAATTTCCAACTCCAGCTGTTTACCCAACTCCACTATCTTGTTACTAATCTCAGAAATTGCTTCATCTTCATTAAATCCTTGAAACTGTTCACATAGCTTTTCAGGACCTTCTTCCATTTTCCATTCATGCACTGACCTGTAACCTCATCCCATGCTGTAGCTATGTTCTTTATACATTTCAAAATGTTGTAATCCTTCCAAACCTCTCTGAGAGTTTTCTCACCTTCAGTAGCAGCAACAGCCTGAGTGAAGGTCGTACGTAAATAATTCGCTTTAAATACAGCAATAGCACCTTGACCCATGGGTTGGATGATAGAGGTAGGGTTAGGTGGAATGTAAACTACCTTAACATCAGGGTGCAGGTCGTCCAGGTGTGGTGGGTGTCCCGGAGCATTATCTAAAATTAATAAAATCTTGAACTCAACCCCTTGTTGCAGACAATACTCCTTGGCCTGTGGAATGAAACAACTCAGGAACCAATCCTCAAACAGTGCTAGGGTCATCCATGCTCTCTTATTACTGTGATAAAACACTGGCAGTGTGTGCTTGCTGACATTTTTAAAAGACCTTGGGTTTGCTGAATGAGATATATCATGAAGGGTTTTGCTTTGAAACCAGCTACATTGCCCCCCAACAGAAGTGTGATTCGGTCCTTGATTGCCTTGAATCCTGGCATGGTTTTCTCCTCTTTGTGGATGCATGTCCATTCAGGCATGCACTTCCAGAATAAGCCAGTTTCATCCACATTAAATAATTGCTGAGGCAAATAATTTCCCTCCACGATGACACGATCTAGCGCCTCCTTAAAAGCTTCAGCAGCACCCACATCAGCTCTTGCTACCTCTCCACTCACCTTTACACTGTGCAAACTGTAACAGTTCTTTAACTTTTGAAACCACCCATGCCTTGCTGTGAATGCCTTGCTGTGAAGTTTTGGTTGCACTCATCTTCTGCCTGCTCTTTCAGGCTTTCGAAAAGGCTTCTTGCCTTAGCCTGTATGGTTAGAAGTTCTTTAGGGTACACGCTTTTGCAGCTGATCTTCCCTCCACATCACAAGTAATTTTTCCTTCTCATGAAGAGGACCTTGTCTTTTTTTCGTTATTATTGTTCCCTTTATAGGTGCTGATCCTTTCACTACCTCATGAATTCGTTCCTTGTCCTTCAAAATTGGCGATATCGTCGAGTGAGAGAAGCCTAGGTTGCGTGAAATGGTTGCTACCGTTTTTCCATTTTCATATTGCATTATTATTTTCATTTTCTTCTCAAAAGTAATTGACTCTCTTTTTTTTGTGAGCACCACGAGAACTCTCACTTTTACGCTTGCCAGTCATTTTAAAGGGAATTAGAAACAAAAAATTTTGTCAGTACACAGCGCGATCACTAACACCAACGACGGCCAAACACCAACTGAGTAGGCTATGGCGTGGATGCTGTACACCACGAGGCGGCTCAGCCCACGCTGTCGTACGGGACGGAAACATTTCGTTACTAGAAAGTACGTACATAATTTGAAAAATATTTTATACGACTGCGGCAGTTGTATGTATTGGTGGTCGTACGTCGAGGAGTACCTGTATATGGGGCTTACAGTACAGTACAGTGAACCCTCGCCCAACGCTGGTTTGTCCATAGCGATTTTAACTATAGGCGTTTAAATATGTGACCAAATAATTTTCCCAACCCTCCTCCTCCACTCTGATTCAGCAACACACCAGTTGGAGAGGCCAGCCAGTCTCGCTTACATGCTAGTACCGTCAACATTTAATTAAGCGGTTTTGGAACTTTTTGTCTGTTTTCCCTTGCAATATGGCCCTCAAACGCAGAGGTGATGCTAGTGGTGGTAGAAATTTAACATCATATAAAATGCTGTATATTATAGCTATAGTGTTATAGTTTAGATGAATATAATGGTTTTAGTTTGAATCAGCCATTAAAATGCTACAATTTTATATAGCCTACAAGAACTGCCAGCATTACTTTTTGCATCCCCTTTGTCCATAGCTGTTTGTCTTACTGCCTGATGCCTCCTTACTTCTCTGAACCTTTCTTGTCAACTTTATTGATCTGCCTTCTTGTCACAACTGACTTCTTGCCATCACCAGCCACTCCCTGTCCTTATTGTCTGGCCACTATAATTTTTCTCCTTAGCTGCTTGTCTGCCATCCTCCTCAACCTGCTTGTCCACCTGCCTTCATACTTTATAAAATGTGACCTACCTGTACTTGCTCCACAAGTTGTCTGTCTACCTCCCCTGCCTGCTCATTGCTGCCCAACCTTATTTCTCCTCCCTCTTCAGCCTTCCAACTTTCCTCTCAGCCTACAGTACATGCTCCCCAGTTTGATTTATAAATTAAATAAAGAATGACTACAGTGGTTACAATTTGTGAAATAACATGACATGGACAGAAATAGATTTTTTTTTTATTAAAGGATTTCTCTCTTAACTATTATTCATGATCCACCCTTGAATTTTTTTGGTTTATAAAGAGATTTAGAAATAGTGTATACCAATATGGGTGTGGGAAGGAAGAGAAATATAGAATTCTGTCATATTATGGGAGGTGTGAGCCAGTCTTGGCACATACTCACTGTGTCAAATATAGCTGCTATGGGGGACCTGTTAACTCACAGTGAATAGAGCATCCATGGCTTGTGAGTATGTCTCACAATAGTATTATTTTAGTAGGATATTAGTCAGAATGTTTAGCTCAGTGAAGACTTAGTAAAATATCTGATTTGTTCTTTGTTGTTTAACCTTACTTAAAAGTCATGCAGTACTGTACTGTATTGATTATTACTGTAGTAAATAATTGATTTTCATAGTTCTGATGATTCCTTTGTATGCTAAGTTTTATTATAGTAATCTTAGAAAATGTATGCTGTAGTTCAGGTACTCACAGAATCACAGAAATTCTGAGGTAAAAAATCTTTTACAATTCCTCTCTGCCTTGAAGTACAGTGTGGTCTTGTACACTATACAGTATTGTACTTGGGCTGCCTTAAGCCAAATCATTTGACAGTTTATTATTGTTTCTATGCCTAGACTTTTTATGTGTATGTTAAACCAGTATATGGAGTAGACATTTGTTCCAGAATGTTAAAAGTTCATCTAACTGAATGTGTCATAATACTGTTATGATGGGAGAATGTGAGAGGGGCTGCCACTGCTTCACTCCTTCCCTCACTGAGGCTTCCAGTCCTACACATTTACACCACCCATTGTACCATACCATAGTGAAAGTTATACTGTAATATGTTTGATTAATGCATTATTTTACTGAGTAAATTAAGTAATTGTGGCAGTTTAATGCACATTTTAAAGCCTTAACTTGCATATAAGAATTGTAAGTGCGGTAACCTGACTCATTTCTGTTATACTGTACTGTACTGTCCTTCTACCTCCTACTGTACCTTCACAGCCTCACACTCTCTTACACTCCTTCATTTTGCCTTCAGATTCCTGTTTGTATTCTTTCACAACCTAATGTTCCCTCATACTCATTCACTAGGCTGCTGGTTGTACTGTACAGTACTGTCACTTCAGCCACAAGATTGAAATTAGAGTTTTGTGCAGTTGTACTTATTATTATTGATTTATTGCTTAGCTATTTAGTTTGGGTTAGGTCAGGTGGGCTGGGTTAGGTTATTGTAATCATGTATATTTTTATTATCTTAAATATGTGCTCAAAACAACTTACTGGGTATAGGGTTTGTATCAAAATTATCAACTTGTGTCTCTTCAGTCTCTCCCTTACAGCCTGTCATTCTTGTAAATTTCTTCATCCTCTCAAGTGTTCTTTCTGTTGTTTAATGTTTGCAGCTATAAATTAATTTGCTGTGCTGTATGTTTATTGTATTTTTTTTTTCAGAATGTAAACACAATGGAGATAGGAGGCAGAAGAACAGCTTCTTCACTGGACAAACCAGTCTTCCAATTTATGTTTGTTCCAGTCTAGTAACCATTATGAAACACAGCCTGTGATCACATTTATAAATACTTTAATTAAACCACTGGACAAGTTAAAGTGCTTTATTGATTTTCATAAGTGGCTTCAGATAAGTGCTTGAACTAGGAAGGATTAAAATCTGCTTTAGTTCCTCAGTCTATGTTGTTTGCATTATAAATGCAATAATGTTTACTGTACTGCTTTATGCCTCTTGTGAACTAGAAACTACTATTATTATAGAAACTCTTAACTGAAAATACTAAAGTTAAGTAAATGCTCAAAATATTGTGTATGTACATTGGAAAATTGTTATTACAAAGTACATGTAACATTATTTTACTACAAATTGTCGTTATCATTGTAAGTAGATGTCTGCTGCTTCCCAGATTGTGAAAAAATCCCACATTGCATTTTTTGAAATTTGGAAGTTAACTCAAACTGTTGGTGATTTTACAAATTGGAACTGGACTGAAAGGCAAGTGAGATATGGATCTTTGAAGCTGTCATTTTAAGATACACAATGGGAAATTAACAGATCTGAATGATTGAGATTATTTTTGTGTATGAGATAAATAATGAAGACAGTGAAATATTCCCCACTGTAAAGTTTAGATATGTACTGAAGTGTTGGTTATCTCGTAGAAAAAATTAACAAGATGGTTGAATTGACCAATGTCTGTTTCATTGTGGTGACTATAATTGCTTTGGTTACTCAAGTAATTGTACCAATTGTCAAAGGACCCTTGTCCCAGCTTCAGCCAGAACTTGCTGCATGGTTACAAGAACAAGCCCTTGAAAAACATGCAGGACTCTTTGTTGATGCAGGTACTGTATTGTTATTTGTAGTTGGGTTTCACATATATTTTCACTAGCTGTACTTGTAGCTCATTTTATGCCTCTCAAAATCCAGTTTGTGTTACACTTTATGTAACAGCTAAGCATGGTTCTTACTTGCTCATAATATTGTCAGTATACAGTACTGTAATTGGTTTTATACTTGCCATATGGTTTTTCAGTCGGTGTTCTTTTAATTCTTCTTTTCAACAATCAAAATTCAGCATTTAGTATCGGTATGGTCTTTGTTGAGCCTCATTAAAGTTACTTTGATTATTGTATATTTCTTCCTAATTCTTTGCATGTCCTCCTCTCTGGTTATGTATTTTTTCACTCGGCTTTTATAGATTATCGTGGTCTGCTCCTGTACTGCATTGTACAATATATTTTTTACAGGGTGTTTTTGGTGTGTGTGTGTGTGTGTTCTGTGATAAGAGTACAGTAGTGATATTTCTTCTTCACCATGGTGTATGATTGAGGTCATAAGTATCTCCCACTGGCTGGAAGGACAAGTAATCATATATGTTTAGCTTTGTTGAGAAGAGAAACAAAAATTTTTAGTGTGTGTACTTGTGTCATCATCATTGTGGGTAGTGCCTGATGTGTATTACTATTACTGTAGCTCTATTGTAAAGTTTATAAACTGTTTTTGAAAGGTTGGAAATATTGTGTATTCTTTGTCAGGGTAGATTGGGAAGCAGTACAACCTTGATGCTTCCTCCTCATTGAATCCCCAAACTGTTATTGAGGTCATCCATGGCAGTTCTCACATGACTAGGCACAGTGTTATTCTTCTTCACCAGAAATTTAGGTTAATCAGTTTTTTGTCCACAATTTCCCCTGAGAATGAAAGGTTAACTTTTATTAGTTGTAAAGTGTAATTAATTCTCAAGACATGGTGTGCTGCTGAGAAATCAACACAAACTTTGTTTTTAATGCAATTATGTTTTTGTTTTACATGCCTGCACACCTGCTTTAGATTATTTGTTTAACTTTATGTTAAAATTTACTTTTAGCTACAAGGATGATTAAGTTCCCAACTTATTGCCATTTGATATGCAAATTCAAGACCAAAAATATCATCTCCCATGACAGTCCTTTTTGGGGAAGAATTTTATTTCCTGAGTTACCACAACTCTCACATCTTTTAGCTACAATTTTTTGTTATTCAGCCAGGTCATCTCTTGATTTTGTTCAAGAAAGGATTTTTAGTAAAAGGCTGTACTGTATAATGCAACTCTCAGATTTGAGGGTGAGGTATGGTATTCTTTAAGGAAATGTGCTCTTAACAATTTCCTTTGTATATACTGTACAGTATATGAATATATTGGCCCAGGTTCCTTATGGTTCTGCACCTATTCTTTGTTAGCTACTGTAGTTGTTAGGTGATTGTCAGATGCCAATTTCTTGGACACCTTTCATTAAAATTTAATGGTATGGAATTGATGAAAATAATAGATTAATAAAGAAAGGTGGTATGGGGGATCCTTGTATCATTAAGGATGAGAGAAGAAACATAGAAAAGAATTCCAGAATTGGCAAGAGAAAGTTTAAAGGACGATGGATAATTGATAATGATTACAGTAATTAATGGTTTATTGAAAATAAAGTAATTGAAAGATGAAAATATTTAGAAGACATACATTATACATAGCTACATTGTATAATATAGGGTGTTTGGAAATGGATTTTATAATTCTGCAGATATATTCCTGGAACATTTCTAGGGCACAATGTCTATATGACAAAATGTTGAAATCCACATACAGTAGTTTCTTAACTACAGCACTTGAAAATGGTTAAGTTAATGACAGTGTGGTTGGAGTGAAACAACCGTAAAGTTTTGTGTAGTTTTATACACGTAACACTACACAATGTGATACAGTTGCATTATTACAGTAAATGTTCAATCCCTCTGCCTCTGTATCACAATGTGTAGCATTATGTGCATAAAATTACAAAATAATTTACAGCTGTTTAACTCCAATCTCACTGTAATTTCCCTAATCTTTTTCAAGTGCTGTAAATAGGAAGCTATGCAGATTTTTACATTTTGTTATATGGACGTTGTGCCTTAGAATTGTTCCAGGAATACACCTCCAGAATTATGAAATGTACTTCTGAACACCCTGTACAGGTATAGTAAAATGGCAGACAGGTATTTGAACATGAGCTTGAAGTATTGTATAGATTTAACACAAAAAGGATGTTCTTAAATTATTCTACAAAGGTGAGTTACATTACCTGAAGCCTGCATATGTGGTTACTAGAATGAAAGGGATAAGAAATGCTGGAGAGAGTGGTCACATTTGGAATGGTATAGAAGGTGCAAGATGTGGGGGAATGGGTAAAAAAGTTGATTTTTCTCGATTTACCCAGCAAGGGGGATACAGCCAGTGGCACCCTAGCCCGGGGCGTAGGGGTTATGAGGAAAATTAGTGGCAGTGCTCGTGGTGGTGAGAGTGAGAAAAAATGACATACTGTATTGTGAGAACTTTTGAAGAAAACGTCAAGATATTGGACTAACTAAGGAGTGGCATTTTGAACTCTGTAAGTTGCACGTTGGTTACCTTAGTATAAAACGGGTTATGCGTATACAATAAATGCTGAACAGAGGGACCTGAATACGTACAGTATTCACTGATTCGCACTTATGCGGGGATCCCAATAACTCTGAGACCCTACTGTACTGTACAGTGGTTTATCTGTTTTTATGGCAAGAAATATGGTTTCTTATCCTTCAGTATCATTTTCCTTAAAGCTATAATGTGTAGTCAGTGTGAAGCAATAAAACTGTCACGGGAAGGAGTCTCCGAACATACATACCCTGACTGTCGTCTGGTGAGGGTGTACTGTTTTATCTTATGCAATACTGTTCTTCATTTAATATTATTTGAATAATAAAATTCATTATACTGTACAAATACAATATTTAGGTGTCACTAAATTCCCATTGTAGGAGAAGACAACAGTCAAAATATACTGTACGTACAGTGCTCTCATTTTGTGTGCTTATCTTCTCTTACAGTGGAATTTCAGTTTTGTGATTTATGTAGGTATTACATAACTTCTTCAACAATTTAGATATGCACATAGTTTTCTTTATACTGTATAGGAGTATGGAGACTTGTGGACGTTGTAGAGATGGGTCCCCTGCGAGGTCTCCCTTTGGTGGAACAAGAACGGACAACTGCGGCTGTATTTGACCTCAAGCAGCGCCTTATCCTCAGTCATTTCCTGAAGAAACATGGAACTGAAACTGGGTTACCAAGGTAAGGAAAATATCCTGTTAGTTGCAGAATTAATATGCTTATTCTGATGTGGTTATCTCCAGGGTAAGTGCAGTACTATGTGGTTACTTGTAAACTTTTACTGTAAAGAAGTAAGTCATTTTCATGGGCATCGTCTGGATCTTTCCCCCCGAGGGGAGGGGGGATACAAAATCCCTTAAATCCTCCTCAGTTAAAGTGGATAGTAGGCCAAGATCCCCCATGTTTGTTTTTAATGTTTCTCGGGGTTGGGTTAGGTTAGGTTTTTATTGTAAAGGGATTTTGTCAAGTGGCTGATGGGCACACCAAAAACTAGTTCCCTGTAGTACTGCATATATTATCAATATGTTAAATAAATGTTAAAATGACTGTAATAATTTTAATATAAAACTTGCAAAAATATTAAAGAGCACAACCTTCTTGATATTTACTCCACTGGAAACGAATGTAAGCCTAGAACAGATTACTGTATTGGCGGACTAGCCTATCAGCTGGTGCACAAGCCAAAATATGTTGTCGTAAGGATTTCGTTAATCGAAGTTTTGTTTGTTAACCGAATTGAAGATCCTTATGGGAGGTAATTCGTTAACCAAAATTTTGTTAACCGAACCGTTCGTTAACCGAGGAACCACTGTATGTATGTTGTGTTGTCAAAGTAAGAGGAACAATTGACCCTGCAATTGTGTGTAAATAAGGCAGAAAGTCAGAGCAACAATCTGGGACTTGGTCACAATTTTCGTGATACCATATGGCTGCAGGGTCTACCATTAGACAATACATTATGCTTCCAATATCTTCCCAGGCGGTAGTACCTCCCTGTTTGGTAGCTGCCTACTACCTTAAGTTTAGCCATGTTGGGCTTATTATTTATTATTTATAGTTGTGCCCCGCTTAACGCTGTTTCACTTAATGCGATTTCTCATATACGCGGTGCCTCGCCAGAACCGAACTTTCACTTAACGCGGTTCATCTACTCATATACGCGGTGAAGTATAATATTTTTTTATTTTTTTGTTTAGCTCATAAAATTCATACAAATTACCCGGCCAGAATATAATTTACATTGCTGGAATTCTTACAATATGATGATCATTTTGAATATAAACATCATAGATTTTGCATTAGACATACAAATTTTAGATATAATGTTTACTCTGAGTAAATATGTTATCTTTTGTGCAAAATATATGACATTTATATTCAAAATATTCCTGGTCTTACAAGGAATCCAGCAATGTCAATTATATTATCCTAACTTTAGTTTGAGGTATTATTTATTACTAAAAAGGTAAATATTCTGGTTTTCCCACACATCTGGTAGGGAGGGTTGGTGGGGGGTGGGGGGGAGGAGGGACCGACCGACCATCTGGCACGGTGTGAAGAATATTTTTTTTTTTTTTTATTAACTGAAGATATTTGTTTTAGCTCATAAAATTCATACAAATTACCTGGCCAGAATATAATTTACATTGCTGGAATTCTTACAATTTGATGATCATTTTGAATATAAACATCATAGATTTTGCATTAGACATACAAATTTTAGATATAATGTTTACTCTGAGTAAATATGTTATCTTTTGTGCAAAATATATGACATTTATATTCAAAATATTCCTGGTCTTACAAGGAATCCAGCAATGTCAATTATATTATCCTAACTTTAGTTTGAGGTATTATTTTTTAAAATCTAGTGGTTTTCCCCAAAAAATTTCTCAGAGAGGGAAGAGCCAGCAGTGTAGCGTGAGAAGAGGGGGAGGGTGTCGAGTCCATTATTTGAATGGACATTAACTTGGCGACTGTATTTCTCTATTTCTCTTAAGTATTAATTGTGTGCATGTACCATCATAAAATTAAGATGTTATTTTTACTAGAACATAGTTGTGTGTCGTCAAAAAGTGGAGTTTGGGGGTCGGGCCAGTCTCTATTGGAATTAATCCCATATGTTCTGTTGTTCACTTAATGCGGTTTTCACTTAACACGGTACCCTGTGGGTTCAATTGACCGCGTTAAGCGGGGTACAACTGCAATTAATTTATTACACCCCAGTGGTTTTCAAGTCTAGTCACAAGGCCATGCGGTCAGACACTGATTCATTGGTACTCGTGTCTTGCAGGACACACTATGACTTATGATATGGAGACAATATTGATATGCTTTGAGGACAATGGGAGTTAGCACCCACCAAAGCATGGGTAGGGTACATGAATTAAATCTAAATTATTACAAATAAGTTGGTGGTGACATATAGTGGTTAGTGACTCCCTGTGGTAGGAGGTCCCTGACAGTGGGACAGTCAAGGCAATAGTGTTGAAGGGTGTTAACATTGGGACAGTTACAGAGTTTACAGGAAGAGAAGTGTGGGTCATCCCCCGCCTCAGATACTTGCCAGATAGGTCTGTATCCTAACCTAATGCGAGCAGAGACAACATTATGTCTGGGGACCATAAGTCCACGTCGACGATACTTGTGTGGATAAGGAAGAAAGTGATCATAGTGTTGGATGGATATATTTTCAGCACATTCACTATCCCTGAGATGGATTGTAGGGAGAAGATTGGCTGAACATATTCTCTTTTGGTAGGTCATGCTGCCTGCTGGGCTTACATTTAGGCCTAAAAGATCCTGATTGGACAGCCATGATTTTGAGAATCAGTTGTTGATTAATCTCAATAGAATGATTTGCAAATAAACATGTCTAATGTTATGCTTCTTTTATGTTTATCTTTGGCTAACTCTCTTTTTAACATTTACTGTGGATTTATTTTAATATTTGAGACAATTAATAATTTTGTTACTTTTTACTTTCAGTACTTGAGTACTTTTTGAATGAGATACTTTTTTGCTTCTGCCTGAGTACATTGATCTTTGAATAGTACTTTTACTTGTACTTGAGTAACATTTTACCAATGTAACAATACTTTTACTTAAGTAACAAAGTCCGGTACTTTTTATAACTCTGCCCTTTCGTTCAATGGGAACTTATTGTATCTATTAACATTTTAAGTAAAAAAGCAACTGGATTTTCTGAAAGTATACCATGAGTATGATTATTTTACATTTACTAATTTATTATGAGCTTAAATGAACCTATCTGTGTTAGTGTAATATGCTGGCTGTTATTTTGAACAGTTGTGCCTCCCAGCTGATATAGATGTCCGAATAATGGATTCCTGTATCTTAATTAGTCCGGTACCTGGGGTTTTTACTGTATATACAATTGGTACTTATGTTGGGCTTTCCCCTCACTTATGGTGCTTGAGGGTAGCAGAGGAATTATCACTGCTTGGATGCCACTGCATAAAGATACATGAAAGGATGGCATGAATACAGATGGATAAAGAGAGAGCACTTCACTTACACCAAACAATGCTCATCCAAGGGCCAAAATGGCTGCTCCCACTGATTCCCAGGCCATGCCTGGTGTGTGATGTATGTTTTCAATTAGCCCAACATTTGGATAAGCAAATATTACCTTCAGATAGCAAAAAAGAGGTGTAAGAATACAATATTCATGTAAGGAAATTTTCGGATAGTGAGGGTTACCTGTACAGAATACTAATGAAATACATAAATAGACCCTGCTGTCATATGGCATCACAAAAATTGTGGTCAAGTCCCAAGTTGCTGATCTGACTTTTTGCCCCATTTACACACAACATACATTTATCATTTCTCACTCTTGATATTTTTTTTTACTTTTTTATTTATTTATGGCTCTTTATTACAGTATTATTATTTTCTTTTATTGTTATTTATTTATATATACAGTGACCCCTCCGTTAATGAACTCAATCCGTTCCAGAAGGTCGTTCGTTAACCGAAAAGTTCGTTAACCGAAACCATTGTTTCAATGGGTTTTTGGGTAATTGGTTCCAGCTCACCGAAAATTTTCTAAATTCAACAAAAATGGTAGAAAAGTTCACTTACTTTGAGGTGTGTATGTAGAAGGCTCCTGGATGATGATGATGATGATGGGATTTAGAATGGGGGTGGAGGAAGAAGAGAAGGCATTGGGGTGGAAGAGAAGTCACCCCATGGCGCCATTTCACCCATAAAATTTTAGCTCTCTTGGTGTAATTCAAGATTATTTTCTTTAAATCAACACTGCACTGCATTATATATTGTCAATATGTAAAATATATTTCAAAATGACCAATAATTTGCTTGGAAACACAGAAAAAAGCATTTAGTTGAAGAGAGTCTCAAGCAAGATGTTACCTCCAGTGAAAACAGAGAGACTAACGCCTGTTTGCTGTGTTAAGAGGCTGGATGCGCGCATTAAACTAGTCACTTTACCTTCAATTATGTTCAATAATTGTTAAAATGACTAAAAAATTGAATATTAAACTTTTAAAATTATTGAATAGTATAAACTTCTTGATATTTACTAAAATAGTAAGGAATTTAAGCCCTAGAACCGATTAATGTATTGGCGGACTGATGCTAAAGCTGGTTGCCCGGTCAGTGCAAGCGAAGACATGTTGAGGTCGGTTCGTAAGAACTTCGTTAACCGAATTGAAGATCCTTATGGAAGGCAGTTCGTTAATCGAAATTACGTTAACCGAGGTGTTCGTTAAACGAGGGGTCACTGTATTTTTATTCATTTTATTACTACTGTAGTTATACTATTATTATTATTGTCATCATCATGATTATTATTATTATTATTATTATTATTTTATTATATTTTTGCCCCCCAGGCCTTGATGTAGGTCATTAAAAATGACCTGTGCCCAGGTGGGCTAATGGGTACTCACCAAATTAAAAGTGAGATTGTATACACCTTCTTGCCAGGCATACATAGTGGAGCAGTTGTAGTATGTTTTACACCTTTGTTTAAAGCTCTTTTGAATGATTGATGCAAGAATAATCACAGGGAACATCACTCCATGCTCTCTGACTGAAGTGGATTCAATGACTGAAGGCATAGTGTTGGGCTTCAAATGCTCAGCTGTTGACAACCTTGCCACATGAGGTTTCTGATGCATGATCTGAATTTTTTGATTGCTCGTTGTGGCAAAAACAATGTTATATCAAAATGGTTCCTTAATTTGTTAAGGTAGTCTTATGGAAATAACTCAAATAAAACCAACATAAATCAGAAACGTTGAATTTCTAACAAACAGGAGATTTCTTCAGAGCATTGTTAATGAGGATGAAAAAGCAGAGAGGTCCCAACCTTATGCCTTAGGGTACATTATTGGTGAGGGACTGAAAGGTGGAGGGATTTATAATGTGCAGTTTCAAAGATGTGCGAGTCATCAACCAGACCAAGGTTACCTCAGTGCCCAGCATAACATTGTAGAGTGGTGTGAAGCTTGGGGAGTCTTTAAGATGAAAGGTGCTTGGTCGTAAATAGTGGAATGGTGCTGAAATTCCATTTTATATTCTAACCTGTTGTAACCGCCCAATGAGCAACTGTGGGATAATGAGACCCTTGCACGTAGGACTCGATTGTTCTTTATTCGGTCAAAACCTGCAGAGTACAAATTACATATGTTACATATGAGATAATTAATTCATTCGTACGTCCCTTCACTATTAACAACTACATATGATATATTTGAGTAGAGTGGGGTGTTAAACCATATAAAAACTTATGTGTTTCGGGTCTAATGTGGGACTTATTAGCTCTCTGACTTGTTAGCTCACTGGACGGCTAGAGACTATCTTCTGAACCCCACAGGGAGTGAGTCAGCCCGAGGCGAGGACCATCTGTTTCACATTTAACACCTCAGCAAAGTTCGTTGTCAACACTCTGTCTCTCTCCTATCTCCCTTTCTCTCTCTCTCTATCCCTCTCTTTCTCTCTCTCTTCTAGTTTATCTTACTGTGGCGGTAACATATCCTACTGTGGTGGTAACACCTGTAATAAAGTGACTCGTGTACAGTAGTTTTCTTCCTCCTGATGGATAGCATGGAAGTTAGCTGAGACTGAAGGGGATAGACACCTGAAATTCCATTATGGCTGAACCATTTGACAGGTGAGGTGTGCACACATGCCAGAGTGACAGTGCAACTTGTTGCAATTTGTAAATGATGCCAGTTTCTGCAAAAGTTCCCTATTCATGGACTTGATTGTGACAGGAGAGCTTGATGATTTCACAAATGAATTCCAGCCACTAAGTTCAAAAGGTGTCCTGGCCCTTAATGAACCCATAGCCTCTGTGAGCATATTATGCTATTTGTTTATTAACAGGTTCAGCCATAAAATGGAATTTAAAAATCAGTCCTCCACTTGTTGGTGCATAGCTAAAGTGATCTTGTTTAAACTACTGTACATCCCAGCATGGTCCGTATAATTTACATGAAAACTGTGTTTCATATTACTGTACCTAATTGTTCTCTTTCATATATGATAAATGTGTGTAGACTTTTAAAGTAATGTGCATGGGAGTCCATGAAAGTTTACCATGCAGTACTGCCTCTTGGTTTACAAGATATTGTAGTTTACTTGTTGTTAATAGGCTGAATAACTTTTGTTTCCAAATTAAAATTATTGATGTGTTTTATAATGCAGGCAGAAGTAGCCATTATTCATCACTGATAATGTACAGTCCCCCAAAAAGTATCGTTAGCCGTGGGGTCCATGAAATTCGAGGCTCCTGAATGATCACAACGAGGGTAAACATAACTCTGAGATAGCACGGTGAACTAGGGTTGAGCAAATCCAAGTATCATGATGGGTTAGGCACCATGAAACACCTGGTGACATGCTGAATCTTAGAACCACAAATGTCTTAATATAGGTAGATGGGGGATTCTGTTGCCTGCAAGTCCTGTGATTTGAAACCTTATTTCAGTATTAAACCAATACAGTTTATATATCAGTAATATGGTATATCCCATGGAGACCAATATACAGTACTGTATTGTATATTGTTGTCACTGGTCACTCTTATATCAAATACTATTTGCTAAGTCACTCTTCATAAATCAGACATATCATGAACAACATGAGTAGGTGTATTGTGAAACTCAGTATGAATGAAACTCCATTAGTACAGTGACATAATGGTAAAATGTCTGTTTTGAGGTCTGTCTCAGTCATGATGTTCTGAGACACTTCCATTTAATGTATATTGCAGTGTTATTGTAATCATCAGTCAGTGGGTTGGTTACATATGCCTTACTTCTACCCAGCATGAGACATACTTTAATATAGTTAATGGATTCCTTGTTTATTGAAGCATCTAGAGTGTCATACAAGGACAAGCCCCCATAATAACCCCATCTCTAGCTGTTGCTGATATGCATTTTGGCTAGTGTCTCAAATTGTCGTGATGGAAACTCTAATAATGCTCTTTGGGGGACTGTACAATAGTGTCTTTAATATTTGATGGTACAATGTTTAATACTTTATTGCATTGATGTGAGTTCTATACAGTACTGAAGAAGGTCTTGTGCATAAACTGTACAATACAGTACTGTACAGTATTTGGTCTTGGTTCTCTTCAGAGAAATTCATGGTCTACCACAATACAGTAATTAGCATCACTTATTACGTTTGATCTGACACGTTTAAATAAATTACTGTACGTATATACAAAACTGTTGTGATAAGTATGGAATTGATGAGTTTTTATATTACAGTACAGTACAGTAGAACAGTACAGTATTAGCAAATAAAAGTCAATAGCTAGACATCAGTCATAGAAATTTGAAGTTAAAACAATACAACATGCATGAACTTATGCATGCTGATTATGGTGTCAGTTATTCTACTGTGTTTCTCTTCCCCTAAGCAGCAAAATTTAATCTTTTTTTCCACCCTCTTCATATTTCTTCTACCACTTCCATTCTTTTGCATGTGCCAGGCTGGAGACTTTAGGCATACGTACTCTCAAGGAGGCGGTGTACATGGTGGACGCTTTTCCCCTTGAGTTTAATGATGATGATCGACTCAATACTCTTCTTCACAGCCTTCCTAGGTGAGTAATTTCCCTCATAGGCTTTGTAATTATGAATAAGTGAGAGGATGAGTGCTGGTTTATATAATTTTGGGGGGAAAAAGAATTTCTATCTGTTTACATATATGAAGCCTTGTATCATTCATGACGAGGGAAGTTCGCTTATTGAATTTTTCTCAAATATTTCATGCACTGACTATCTCCCCACTGTCATATCAGATACTATAGCAATGCTTTAAACATCTAATGCAATAGTTTGCTTGTTAGTTTAGTAATCACATTAGTTAGATAGTAACCCCTTGTTTGCATTAATTAGTAGGAAAGTGTAGAAAGTCAGCAAGCATACATGAGCGGGAGAGCTAGAGAAGGGGAACAAGACAGAAAGGCTTAAGCAAAGAAATTAATAGAATACTGTATGATTAGGGAAATGATATCCCAAGGTAACGTACGTCATCACCCCATGGGGAAATTCCATCAAGACCATCCACTGTAGTGCATTAGTACAGGTTTGTTATTCAAAGTATGTGTCAGATTAATAGCTCTGTACTGTACTATACAGTACAGTATACCTCATATATGCAGCCTGTCTTTCTCATTTAATTTACTATGAATATCTATTGGTTTTCTCTCTACTGTATGTTAACAATATATCTATGATACAGTGGCATACTGTACTTAAATATAAAACTGTAAACTTTAACCACCACAACTACTATAGGCAACATGACTATTGGGAGCACTTTGCATACTATGAGGAATACCATGGCACAAAAATCCAGTATATGCCATAGCTGTCTGCTCTATAACTTAATGTATTTTATGTCAACTCCAGAATTAAAAATATGTTATTGCTTACTTAAATACATTATTACTAATTTTAATTAATTAAAAAATGATTTATTGTAAATATAAAAGCTAGATTTATAACTATTGATGACAACCCAAGATGGTTAGGTAGTACAGTGTAGGAGAACTCTGGACTTGGAATAAGGGCTGGAAAACACAGGCTGCTTGCTTCTTCTATTCACTTCTAGGTCCAAGTGACTTGCACTCGTTATCATGATTTGCCAATACAATTAGGTCACCTAACAGATAGGTAGGTGAACAGCATGCCATCTAGATACCATCTAGAAAAGGAACACAACACCATCAAGGAAGCAGAGGTCACATTACAACAACCCCCCCCCCTACCCCTCCCTCCGGTCAGCTGTATCCGTAGCGTTTGGGCCTCACAGTAACCTGTGACGACTGTTTCAACTGCAGTCCAGGAGACTGAGCAGTCCCCACAGGTACTGTAGCATCCAGAGGAACAGCCGACTTTGCCAGAAAAGACAAAACAGGAAGATCAGGCAGGCCAAGATTTCCAACCCCGGCCTTCCCCTTGAGATCAGCAGAAGCTCTATTAGACAGTGGCAGTTGAGGTTGCAGGTGAAATAGGGCAGCAAAAGGCACTCTCCCCATCGTCCTGTAAGGCCCTCCAGCATCATCAGGCACAGCAGTAACATGCCTGTAACATAAGTGATCGATATGATGTCTGAAAACACAGCCATCCAACAACTGTACAGGACAAGATGTACCCGGACAAGAAGACACCACTCCTGGCAACCATCTCAATCCCCGACCAGTCTGTGGCAGTAAATAGACATACACCGGATCTCCCACCTTGAATGAACGTTGCTGGTTATGTTGATCATACTTCTCTTTCTTACTCTGTTGGAACATTTCACAAGATCCAGATGAGTCCGCATCCACTTTCCAAACAGCATCTCTGCAGGGCTCAGTCCTGCAACATGTGTATCAAGGCTCTCCTCAACCTGGTTCTGCAAACCTGTCTTTTATGTCCTTACTGCCTACTCCACTATGCCATTACTCTTAGGTGACGAAGGCAATGAAGTGATGTGAGTCACCCCAGTTTTCTTACAAAACAAAGCAAAAGCTGTGGAATGAAACAGGTAGCATTATCGATCACCACAGTTTCTGGAATACCATAGCTAGCAAATGTCCATCTACATTTTTCTATCTTCACCTTGGCTGAAGTGGTTGTAGTCTTGTGAATGGTGTGAGCATCAGTTATTAAAAGCCACATAGAACTTTCAAAGGGCCCACAGCAATCCAAGTGAAGATGTCTCCAAGGGTACTGGGGCCCAGGCCAGGGATACAGTTCTGTTGGTGGAGCTTTGTTTTGGTACTCCTGAAAGGTTGAATATGAAGCTGCAGAATCTTCTAGAGCCTTGTCCAGTCCAGGCCACCACAAATATGAAAAATGCAGCTTTTCATATGAGAAGACCCCAAGTGACCTTCATGCAGCTCATCCAGTACCGCACTCCGTCCCTGAGGAGGAATAATAATCCTGCATCTCCATAACAGACATCTATCATGTACACTAAACTCATTTTGTCGGTTTTTGTAAGGTAGAATGTCTGCAGTTCTATCAGCCATATTGTCAGGCCAACCTCAGCATCCATACTCCAGGACAGACGTCATCACAGGGTGCCGCCTTAACGTGTTTTTTGTGACACATGACCAGTGTTGACCATCTCCATCAGATGCACAGTCTCGGGCGGCACATCAGGTAGAGGAAGCTGACTTTGGGCATCACAGTGAGCATGTAATTTGGCAGGGGAATACACAGGTCCGTAATTACAGTATAGGTGGTTAACATCAGAGCCCATCTTTGCACTCTGGGAGAAGCCATCGCTGGAAGTTGCTTATCTTCTCTAAGTAAGCCTAAACAAAGGCTTATGATCTGTGACAAATACAAACAGCCTTCCGTATAAATAAAAATGTCATATCTTCACAGCCAGCAATCAAATTTACATCTTCATGATTAATTTGGGCATAATTATGTTTAGCATCAGTTAGTGACCTTGAGTAAAAGGCCACCTTTCTCTCTACCCCTTGAGCATCTATATGGAATAAAACACATCCTATTCCATAGGGACTTTCATCACATGTCACCATAGACTCTTTCTTCACATCAAAATGGGCTAAACACTTTTATTTTATTATTATTATTTTCTTTATTTTTTATTTTTATATTTTTTTTTTATGGGAATTAGCCCACCTGGGCACAGGTCAAACGACCCACAACGGGGCCTAGAGGGCGAAAAAATAAGAACAGAAAGAAATTAAAAAGGAGAAGAAAAAATTATACTGTGTTAATCTACACCACGAAGATGTTGGAAAACCAGCCTTTTAAAGTGAGACAGATTGTATAAGTATGGAAACACAGAAGAAGGCAGAGCATTCCACAGTTTGTCTGTGTGAGGAAAGAAGGATGTACTATAACGGGTTATTATAATGTGACCGACATCCACAGAGAACCGGTGGGCACCGCGGGCAAGACGTGTGTTACGAGCCCACGGCTTTGCCGGCAGTGCACAGGATGCCAAATCCACCGAACATTGCCCGTTAAAGCACCTGTAAAAGAGAGAGAGTGAAGCAACATTGCAGCGAAGAGAAAGGGAAGAAAGATTATCAACTAAAGGAGGAGAGTTAATTAGACAAAATGCCTTTGATTCCACCCTATCTAACAGTTGGACAGAAGAAGAGCCACCCCAGATATGAGAGCAGTACTCCAAGTTAGGACGAATGAATCCCTTATATACTTGAAGCAACTGCTCAGGAGTGAAGTAGCTACATCATCTGTACAGCATTCCCAGCTTTTGGGAGGCAGCTTTAGCTATGTTGTGGATGTGTGGCTTCCATGATGTATTAGAAGAAATGGTGAGGCCTAGCATATCTATTTTAGAATTTGTCAGAATGGTAGCGTCCTGAAATGTGATTGGTGGGAGATCATCTAATTTGGAAGTGTAATTGGCAAATACACGACTGAATTCACATCCTCTACTGACGGACAATTCCTTGTATGTAGTGTGTGAGCTGAACTTTCTAGTCCTTGCAGCTCGTCACTCAACACTAGTTTCCCAGGGACAGTTCCATGGTCTCCTCCGTCAACCAGCAATCCAGACAACTGTCCTTCATCCTCCAGTTGCACATCACTCATCTAAACTAGGAGGAACACTATGAGTCACATTGAATCATCATAATAATACAAGGGAGCAACTGATTCGCCAGGCAAGAAGATGACTGTAGCAATGCATGTGATGGAGAGTGCGGGAGGGGGTTTTGAGAATTGCAATTAAATGCCAGGTAGCGACGTGTCCTCCTAATATTACGTATTAAGTAATTATTAAATGTTTTAATTGCCTGTATGTTGGCCTGGCGTGTTTTTGCTTGGCATTAACATACCTAGTTATTGCTAGACGTCACATTCTGGACTACAGTATATCACAAAAACTGGTTTTTAGGAAAAAAACGGCTTTATTACTATTGAATTTAACCAAGTTTTTACCTCCCCATTCGGAGATGCTGCACAGATCCGCATTGATAGATGTAATGATATCAGCTCCAGAAACAGATCTAGTTTGAGAGTTAGGGGGAAGGGGAAAATGTGAAGAAGAGTGAAGAGTAGAATCATCAGCATAAAGGTGGATAGAATTAGTCACGGTGTAAAGTAAATCATTGATAAAAAGGAGGAAGAGAGTAGGTGAAAGAACAGAACCCTGTGGGACACCACTATTGGTAGAGAAAAAGCGAGAGGTCGATCCCTCGACAACAACTGCCATGGATTGGTTCTCAAGGAAGCTAGAGATTAGAAAACAAAGTGGGGGAGAGAAACCATGAGAGGGAAGTTTGGAAAGAAAAGACTTGTGCCATATTCTGTCAAATGCTTTGGAGATGTTGAGGGCCACGACGAAAATTTCCCCATAATCCCTAAGAGAGGATGACCAAAGATGGGTGCAGTTGGAGAGCAGATCACCAGTAGATCTCGCCTGGCAAAAACCATACTGGTGATCCAACAAAAAAGAATGGTATTCAAGGTGACGGAGAAAATGGGAGATCAAGATAGTTTCGAAAATCTTAGAGGGGGATGAAGTTAGGGCAATGGGGCGATAGTTAGAGGGATTAGAATGATCACCCTTCTTCGGGATGGGCTGAACCGAGGCATGCTTCCAAGA